AGAAAATGGCCACATGTCCAAACACAATAAAAAAAAGAAATGATCAGATGCAGATCACTGAAAAAACTTTGAAAGGGCTTAAATCTTAGGATCTGCGTTCCATATTAAATTATTGTAAAAAAAAATCGATTTACCGTTTGAATTCTACAAAAGCAAGATGTTTAATGAAAAGTGTCTTTATAAAGTAATACCGTTAGAATTTTATCTCATTAATTGAAATATGTCACGGCTTACCTAAGAGTTTGCTATCATACGACTTACTGCGATCACACAGTAATTCATTGTCCGGGTTTTCTCATAAATTTAAAGAGCACGTTAAGAGAGCTTCAGAAAATATAATTTTATTTATACATGTTTATTGGTTCAAAAGTTATTAAGGATTAGATTTTTATAAACGATTTACTACATGTGGCCTGCCCTGCATTATGTTTGTAAATCGTGTGATAGCAGACACCCAGGTATTTCGTGATATATTTCAATTAATGAAATAAAATTCTAACGTTATTACTTTATAAAGACACTTTTCATTAAGCACCTTGCTTTTATAGAATTCAAAAATGTTAAATATTGCGTGAGAAACTAAAGGCGAAGTAAATCGATTTTTTTTTACAATAATTTAATATGGAACGTAGATCCCAAAATTTTATTATAAAAAAAAATTTATACGTACGTACGTACGTACGTACGTATATGATCATCACTATATCAACTGCACTATATTTGTAAATTAACCGATAGGGTATACCACAATGAATTCTATATTTGAATATGTTTTATACTTTTTTTGTTTGGAATTTATAATTCATTATTTATTTATATGCTTTTTTATACTTTTTTTGTTTGGAATTTATAATTCATTATTTATTTATATGCTTTTTTATACTTTTTTTGTTTGGAATTTATAATTCGTTATTTACTTATATGTAGTACCGGTTATACCGACACCCCAAAAATATCTAAAGAAATTGTCTGATACATCCAAATGCCGGTTGTCTAATACATCCAAATGCCAGTTTAACTAGAGACATTTTCATAAAGAATTTAGTTCAAATTTTTAAAAATTGTCAGATGTCGATATAATCGGAACGACGTGTGTTAATTTTTAGTAATAACATGTTTCTTTATTAACCGGTAAATGCATAACTATTTCAAAAATGGCATATGTTATTTCTTAATTAAAAATATCATTCGTAAGCAATATTGCAATATCGTACAATGAAAATTCTTATCAGAAAATTCTTAGAAGAAAATAGGGCGTTGATAAATAATCGGGTTTTATAATAAAGAAAAATATACAAGTAATTCGAGTCTATTAACATATCTAAACAAAATTATTAGCGCCATTAAATTAAATTTCAAATTAAAGAAACAATAATTATTATAATAACAAAATTGCGCAACATTATAAGCTATTTAAACAAGTCGAGATGGCTCACCTTCGTTTTTAGCGCCGCTATCAAAAAAAGATTTCGACGCTCTAAAATTTAATTCATAAATAAAACCTTCCACATAAATTCGCAATGGAGGCTGGCAGTTATACTTACTTATTTGTAATAGGTGCTATAGTAGCATTCGCCGACGGCTTTGGAATCGGTTCCAATGACGTCGCGAATTCATTTTCGACGTCTGTTGGTTCAAGATCGTTGACCCTCAAACAAGCGTGTGGTATCGCCCTGATAACAGAATTTCTTGGTGCCTTCCTTTTAGGTACGTATGTTTTGCATAGTTACTATGGTACAAACATGTGCGTATCCCAATACATCCATTTGCCATTCATACGTGTCATTCAATAGAAGTTCCTCCTAGTATGAGTTCTCTGTAATCTCTCAACATAACAAATTTTGACGTTCAAGAACTTCGTAGTATCATGAAGTGTTCTTACACATCGAACTTAATTTATTATCATAGTTTATTTCAAAGGGAATAATCAATTAATGACACGCGCACATCTTTTTTGTTTGAACAACTACCATTAAAATTTTATCATATCGACTGATTTAGCTAAAGAAATCCAATCTCTCCAGGTTAAGGAGCGTCAATTATATATAATTTCATGTGTTTATGTTTAATGATGTGCGTCACAGGGAGATTGGATCTCCTTATCAAAATCTGCTGATACTGTATGTACTTTGAAATTTATAATTTCATATATTCTTATTATAATTAGGATCCAAAACTTCTGAAACAATCAGATCTAATATTATTAAGGTTAACCTATTTGACGGAAATCCGGGTTTACTTATGGTGCGCATTTAAAACTAATAAAAATTTTTGCATTTGTATATTTTAAACTAATAAAAATTTTTGCATTTGTATATTTATAACTTCTAAACCTTATTTTAATATTTATATAGCTTGGAATGGTGTGTGCATTGTTTGGTTCTGCCTTATGGGTTAATTTTGCATCAAAAAAAGGTTGGCCCGTATCAACTACTCATTCTATCGGTAAATATATATATATATTCTTTTGTTTTTTCTTTCTGCAAATAATTATTTTTTAAATATGCGAAATAATGAAAATAAATTTGTAATAGTTGGCGCTATTATCGGGGTTGGTATTGCCGCATTCGGGGTTGATACCATTGATTGGGGATGGGGTGGTGTAGGAAAAATTATCGCTTCATGGTTTATTTCCCCTATAGCTGCTGGAGTAGTTGCCTCTGCGATCTTTCTAATGACAAAATATGGCGTTCTAACTCGTTCGAATTCATTTAAGAAGGGTTTAACTGCTGTACCCTTATTCTTTCTCTTCACGGCTGCAATTAATATCCTATACATTATCTTTAAAGGAGCACCTGCTTTAGGATTAGATAAAGTTACTCCTGGTATAAATATTGTTTTAATTCTTGCAGTATTTAATAATTTTCACTTTATAAAAAAAAAATTAACTATTTTTTAATTTCATCTAATTTTACAGTAATCATTGCTCCCGTAGTAGTTGGTGTTTCTTTAGCTATTGCATTATTTTCGCATTTCTTTTATGCACAATGGCTTAAACGAAAGATTCAAAATAAAGAAGACCTTAAATGGTATCATATATTTGTCATTCCTTGCGTTCCTTACTCTCCAGGCACTCCAAAAGATAGTCCAAATACTGAAAAAGATAGTGAATCAAAAGAAAACTCAGAATCACTTGAAGTTATCAATGATAAAGAAAATAGTGATAAAAAAATAGTTATTGTGGATGTTCCCGACAATGAAAGAATCAATGAAAATAATGAAAATGAAAATAAGGAAAATCAAAATTTCCTTGTGAAATGCTTTACATTATTCCGCGATAAGACTATAGGTTTTTTTGTTCACGGAGTAAACAAAGACGTCCCGGATTATAAAGCTGATAAGAACAAAGAAATGCATGATGCAGCACCAAAATATGATGCTGAGACCGAAGAATTATATTCATTTTTGCAAGTGTTTACAGCAACATTTGCCAGTTTTGCCCATGGCTCCAATGATGTAGCCAATGCTGTTGGGCCACTTTCCGTAATAAGTGATATATATCGTACTGGGGCTACTCCCAAAGAAAAAACTTCAGTCGAATTGTGGGTCCTCGCTTACGGAGGTTTGGCCATCGATGCTGGTCTTTTCTTATATGGTTATCACGTAATGAGATCTCTTGGCAATAGATTAACCTATCATTCACCATCACGTGGTTACTCTATGGAACTTGGAACTTCTTTGACTGTCTTAACAGCCTCAAAACTTGGCTTACCTATTTCAACAACTCATTGTATATCAGGAGCAACAGCAGGGGTTGGCCTTTGCAATGGGAACTTTAAGGCCATAAATCTCAAGTTTCTTGCGTGGTGTTTCTTTTCATGGATACTTACAGTCCCATTCACCGCCACAGTTGCAGGCTCTATTTTTGCGTTTGTAATTAATGCACCAAAATATATTACTTAAGGCTATATTATGTTTTTTTTATAAAATTTTTTTTTAATTTACTCTAGTTTTCATAATTTTTTAATCCTTGCAATACTAAGTTTTGATCCAAAAACAATCACATTCATTTTATTTATGCAATCGTCCCTCCATATATTACCTACCATATAATCACATATTACGTTTAGGCCAAACTATGATTTAATTTATAATAGGAAAAAACCTCATTAAAGCACAATCTCTTTATAAGCAAATTTTGAAAAAAATTTACTATGTGCACGACTTGTGTGATTATATGGGAGGACGACTGTACCTTTTCTTTTCTTTATCGATATCAAGTTTCAAACATACATTCTTATATTTTATTTATACAATATATTGGAATTATTAGCTGCAAAATTGTTATAATTATGCATGTATGTTAACGGTGCATTGTAAAACGCTTCTTTTTTTTTTTTTTTACGAATTTAATAAAGTTAATTTCATGTTATTTCGTAATTTCAGTAGTCCTAATTATTAATATTGCAAATTTTTTGTTGATGCTAACTTTTTAGGCACAAATTACCTTTGACGGTTCATCTTAGCTATTTCTTTTTTGAAATAGTAAGATTGGCTACGTGAATTGTATTTTTTTATTATTAACTAATATCAATATAAAAAAAAATAAAAATTTTATTTAGTTAATTAAATATTCACCATTATTTAAGGCAATAAAAATTGCAGTAATACCAACATTTATAATTACTAATCCTAATTCTGAGCTTTAAAGAATTTATAAAAGAAATTTAGACTATTTTCAAGCAGCTCCCTCGATGTGACTTGCTAGTAATCGAAATGCTACTCAATTATTTCAATTAACCAAAATATAATTGAAGTAACAACTGACGTATGTACGTAATCTTTTGTGCTTCCAGGTAACAATATGAATTAGGAAAAGTTTTAATGCTCATTCGCATTTATTCTATTTGTGAATTTATGTTTTTAAACAAATCGGTAATGTTTCACCGGTTTCATAAGCAGACTGGCCATGACAGAAAAAATACAAGATCATGATTATGATGAATATTAGCACATTTTTGGAAAAACATTATTTTATTATTTTATTTAATAAATAATATGTATATATGTGTTATATCTGGAGTAGCAATTTATTTAAAGTAGCTATTATATATATATATAAAGTAGCACTAACTAAAGTATCTACTTTAAGTATATAAAGTAGCTATAAATGATCATTATTATATATAAACTAGGAATTTGATCATGTTGGCGGATTCGCCGCCTATAATAAATATGTCAAAGATAGTGGATTTTCGTCTTATTTTTATTTCGGAAAAAATTCTTAAGTTTTTCTGTCATTAGATTCCCTTTGACCCGGAGGAGCTATTATTTATCATGTGAAGCGAGCATAATATGATTTCATAGAAAGACTTTCGTATTATTGGCTGTTTAAATCAAGTATATAGAAAGTGTAGGATTCTGCAATTGAAAATAATCAAAATCCTTTTTTGTTTTAGAGAAGTTAGCTGATATTAATCTAATTCTATCTATTTTTCAGAAGGTTTAAATATGCTAACTTCTCTAAAACAAAAAAGGATTTTGATTATTTTTGATAGTGGAGTCTCACGATTCTAATAAAACCTTTTATTTATTCCTTAGTTGATGTTTTTAAAAAACACTTTAAACTGTATAATAATATAAAATTAATTGATAATATAATATTAAATTGATAATTTAAAATTAAATTGATTTGAACAGCCAATCATATAAAAGTCTTTCTATGAACTGTGATCGTACAATCGTAAAATAGGGATGTGAAAAGTTCAGTCCGTCCAAACTCGACTCCAGAAGTCAAGTCATAATTTGTACTCGGTCCCAAGCGGACTTGGGACAAAAAAAACTCATACTGTCGTGTGAAAACTGTGACACCACATTTTATTTAAGTAATACCGTAATTCAAGACTCAAAGTTTGAACCTTGTATTACTTAAATAATGTGGTGTTACATATTTTACATCTTGTCCCAAGTCTGCTTGGGACCGAGTACAAATTAAGATTCGACTTCTGGAGTCGAGTTGAACCGGACCGAACTTTTCACATCTAAATCGTAAGATTATAGTATAACATGACCCGCTATGCCATTATAATATGTAATAACAAATTACGTAAATTTTGTGTTGGTCAGGGGGTTGAAGATTATCAATTAATCTTACCGGCAAAAAATCAGAAAAAAGATTCAAAAAAATAGAATAAATTTGCTAGCATGATTTTTATTAGGATTTAAGCTGTTTTATTTTTATTTTATTTTTACTTTTTTTTATTTTCAGTATGTACACAGTATATATACATAATATATATGTATAGTATATATAGAGACTTGTTAATGCCACCCCCTACATAGCTCTAATTGGTCTTTAACCTTTCTGAAACTCTATGAATAATGCTTACCCTAATTGCTAACTTAATTAATCACATGAATTCACACTGTTTCTAAATACTATTTGTAGAATTTTCAAGATTTAGACCAGTTAAGATTATATAGATGGGTGGCATTAACAGTTCTCTATATATATGTAGCATAATATATACAAAATATTAATATAAATAGTGTATATAAGTACTTTTCCCAATATGTATATTCATAGACTATACTCTGCAGCAATTTAGAGTACCAAATTTTGATTAATACTGGGTATATAAGTATGGGAGTATCATACATATGTACCTAGCATGCTTGTATAGTATCTTTTTCTATACATATATTCTAGGTATTAAAATAGGCTGGTGAAATATCTCAAGTATATATGTTAAAAAAATATAGTATGTGTAGTAGTCTTATTTTCATCATGTTATTTTGCTATTTTTACTATAGTTATACAAAAAAATTTCTTTTTTTATAAACTAAATAAATTAATTTTTTTAATTTTTGGCATTCTTGTTGATATCTTTATTAAGTTATTGTCTGGAGGACTTACATGTTTATGTGCTTTGATGACTAAAATTATAATTTTGATGCATCTATAGTAATCATATCAAAAATGTTGTTTTGGTGGTAGTTAAATCATCAAAATTGACCTTGTGAATCTCAAGATACTTGGAATTAAAAACACAAACATAAGGAATTAATATAAAAAATTAATTTTTTTAAAATTAAAGAAGTTTTTATTAAGTTAAAGTTTGTTGGGCTTCTAAATAAAGTTGTAGAAGAAACTTTTCTGGTTCTAATAGTCTTGTAGATCGTAAGATATTTAGGATTAAGGATGCAAATATAAAGATCTTAAAATTGGTAGTTACACAAAATATTATAGTCTATAATACCTTGTATAACTTGTATAACTACCAATTTGCAAATCCTTATATTTGCATCTTTAACCCCAAATATTTTGGGATTTACAAGGCTAATTTTGATGTTTTTTTTTTTTTTTTTTTTTTGAATTTGCTGTATACATGATAAGATTAGTTACAGATTTATATCAAGATGATATTAATTTAAACTATCTATT